AACAAGTGCCTTACTAGCAGTAACAAGAAGCTATTAGAAACAAGTGCCTTACTAGTAGTAAATTCCACTCCAACTCTGGCCGATCGCAGGAGTGGTCCGTGCTTGACCAGCTTTGGCAAGAATTTGTCGCTTGAAACAAGGGCCGGGGTTCGGCCAGCAATCTTGTAGCGATGGCCTCCATGCCATACCTCTCAAATCTGCAAAGTGCGCTCAAGTTTGCAACAAAACACAGGTATGCCTTTAGAGGCCATGCTTTATGGCCATACGTAAGGCACTTGTTACTAGTAGCTTTCTTGTTACTACTAGTAAGGCACTTGTTTCTACTAGTAAGGCACTTGTTCCTAGTAGCGTCCTCTTGTTCGTAGCTTATGCCTTTAGAGGCCATGCTTTATGGCCATACCTCTCAAATGCATTAAAGTAGCCACGTTGCTTCCATCTTGCGCAGGTGAGAGATTCACTAATTTTGCACTTGACTGGACCGAGGATCTCACAGTGAGAGAATTTGTCCAGTTCTTGCAATTTGCCTTCGGCGAGAACCTCCAGGATTGGAATTTGCTGTGCACGAATCATGTTCAGACTCTCATGTACAGCATCACTGGGACACTTAGATGTTGTGCTGAGCTAAGTCACCTACAATTCACCAAAGATCGATGAGAGAGTGATCCCTTTGGTTGGATCAACAAGTGAGTCATTGGCCAACTTTGACCTTGCCCAGAATGCACGTTGCAAAGAACAGAATGTAGAAAAGTGTTTTTCCCTTGTGAAGTTTAACAAAGTGCATTGAATGCCTGCAAGCCAACAGAAAAGCATGAAGGCTGTCTCATAGGTGGGAGGCCATCGCTCTGAGCAGCATGAAGGCTGTAGGTGGAGCATATTTTCGGTGTTGTTCAGGACGCCTGGGACGCCCTGGATGAGGACGGCAGTGGCGAGCTGTCTGAGCAGGAGTTCAACGAGGCCGCAAAGAGATGCCAGAAGAACGGGCAAGAAGAAAACAGGAGAGCATAGAGAAAAGAACCGTAAGTAAAAGAGAAACGAAAAAAGGTCTAAAGACAAAAGACAAGAAAAAGAACGAAGAAAAGGTCTAAAGGTCTAAACCAGTTTGGATAAATGAACACTGAGAAAGTTGCACATAATATGTTGAGTTTATCAAGAAATCTAGTAGCAACAAAAACTCCCGCGAGGGCCCTTCTTCTGCGTCCCAGATAGTAGCTTCCTTACTAGCTCTACCTGAATTATTTAGTTAGCGTACTTACTGGAGCGATGGCCTCCAACCTACTAGCGTCCTTGTTACTAGTAGCGTCCTTGCTCCTAGTAGCGATCCCCGGAGCCCCTAGTAGCGTCCTTGCTCCTAGTAGCGATGCCCTTTGCTCCGTTCGTAGCGCCCTTCGTTCGGAGATCTCGCAGCGAAGGCCGTGCAGCTCGCCGGGTACTTCGGCCCTGCGCGGGTGGTCTTCGCTCTGCTGGACGGCTCCGACGACGGGACCATCTCCCTCGACGAGCTGCTGGGCACCGGTCGCGTCAACCGTATGGCCAGTTCGTTTGCTTAATTGACTCAGGACCTGCATTCTTTCTGTTTTTGGCCCGCTCACTTAATTAAGTAGGCGCCTAATTAATTAAGTAAGAAACTGAGGTAGCTAGTAGCTACAAGAACGCTACTAGCTTGGATGCAGGATAGCTCACGCTTCTATTCATTTGGTTCCTAGATTTTTAAGGAAGCTGAACCAGGTTCAACCGGCATACCCAGGTTCAATGTCTTGGAGAAGTACAAGAAGATGTAACGATAGAGGTCAAACCTTGTCGGAACGGCCTGGTCACTTGGCAATCACTAGCCTGAATTTCACACCTCGCATACTCTTTCCGTATTCCTACGAAACAGCCTACCTAAGTTCCTGAAGAGGGAAAGAAGGCAATAGACCGACTTCTTCACGCCCTCTGGGTGGCTTGCGGCACCCCCTGCAAGCCAGACAGGAGATAATGTAGACAATAGCCTTTGGAGTGATCTCAACTGGGCGGAGAGCACAGGAATGCTAGTAGAGCATCTTGCAGATGTCAGTTGTGCTTTGTCAATTCTGTGGGCTGATGGCTGATCTCTTTCTCCATACAAAAAACAATCCCATGGCACGAAACACATGCTTGACTCGGCCATTGGTTAGACAAGGAGCACTGAAGAAATGCACTTGTGAGTAGAGGTAGAGGTTTGGCAGTAGTAGCAGTAGCAGTGGTAGCAGTGGTGGCAGCAGCAGCAGCAGATGTTGTTGTTGTTGTCGTCGTCGTTGTTGTTGTTGTACCAGCAGTCCCAGTCGCCGTAAGAGGTTTCTTGCCAAGACCAAGTAGCACGTGGGTCAAGTGCGGCCAAGACCTAAAGAGACCTATAACTTTGAATAGAAACAATAAGCTACTAGGAACAAGTGCATCGCTTCTAGTAACAAGTGCCTTACTAGTAGTAACAAGAAGCTAGTAGTAATTAGAATTTAGTTAGTAGAATTGTAACTTTGTGAAAGTCCACAAGGCCCACATCAAAAAATATGCTGACGAACGAAGGTGGCTGGCAGAGGACATGATGGGCTCCTGAGTGCACCTGGCACTTGGTTCATCTTTGTACCATAGCCACTTTGCTTGCGGGCAAGCAGCACGGCACAAGCCGGCCGGGGATTGTCACAGCAGCATCAGGTAGACACTTGTGTTCGCGTGAAGCAGTCTTGGTATATAGAAGCACTATGGAAGCAAGAGAGAAGTGGGTTACTTGGGACTTGACTTGAAAGACAAACAATTAGAGATCAAAGAACTTGTCACAAGATGATTTGCCCTGGTATGTCAAATATCACACTTCCGCAAAATAATCATGGAAGTGAAAAACCGCCTGTTTCTGGGGAGACTGGCTTTGTTTCCCGAATGAACCTGTCACAAAGGTTTGCATTGATTTGGGTTGCGTGATTGGATAGACTGCATTGATTTTTAAAAAAATGTGGCACTAACGGTTTGCCTCCGCTCATGCTTGGGAGATTGGATCCGGTTTGCAGCATGATACACTTGCAGAGTTCACTAGAAATGGGCGACTAAATGCGAGTACAATCTCCAGCCCTTACCGTGTAATTAGAAACATTGCTTCCGATTGGAAGAAGTCTGCATTGCAACGATTTTTATGCTACTTCCACCTCTGCATCACCGGCATGTGCTGATATTTGTCGTGATGTCACTCAATGTGCAGGATGTGCTGAGGTGGCATCTTTTGAAGCACCTGTGCAACTTCTGCTCCGAAGGAGCCGGTCCAAAGCTGACGCTTGAAGCGTCGGACGAACGACAGGTGTGAGAGACAAGCGAGATGAACATCAAGCCGAGCGCAGAACTTGCTACGCTGCTACAAGTATTAGGTGTCAATAATGCTAGAAAAAGAGAGTTGTTCTGGTCATGTTCTTTATCATTGTCTTCATTCCTTTCTTTAGGCTTTATCTCTTGGAAATACGAGGAATGATTCTTAGCTCCCATGCAACATGCAAGTGGGCATTTGTTTCTGAACGTTCAAAGCATCAACAGCCACTCTTGAATTTGCTTGGACAGCCTTTCGGTGCAGGCCAACGCACAAGAGCTTGAGGAGGTGCGGAGGGTACTCGAACCTGTGTGAACCGCGAGTATTCCGGATCGAGAACCTCTCTTTTGTTGTTCCTTGCCCTTCCTGATTTTTCTCTTTTTGTGTTCTTTCTGCTCGAAAGCACCTACAAAGGGCTTTTCGTTAGGGCCAACATAGACTTCAACGTCTCATCTCTGGTTCACCTTCATGATCTTAGAGGCAAAACCTTTGCAGATTAAGATGTAGAATTGGCTCAGGCGGCCCAAGCCACTCGAATGTCGATTCATCACGGTATCGGATTTATCGCCTCCAAGCCCTTCAAGTGGCTTCTTTTCGCCCCTCCATGTTGTAAGAGCGCTTTTGGATCTAGTTTTTGGAAAAAACAAGAAAGGTCTGAAGGTTTTAAGAAGGGGAAGGAAGAAAGAAAGAAAGAAAAAAGAAAGAAATGTCTCCTGTCATTGGTTGCCGGATGGTGATGCGACCTTACCTTGCAAGTTTGTAAGGCCAAAGCAACACCACAAGCCAACTCGGAGGCTACCAATGCGCTTTCAGTAGACTCAGTAGACAGCTTGGTGACCAGCTCATCACATCAGCTCGGTGATTAGTTTGAGTGCTTTCTTCTCTTTTCTTTGTTTCCTTTGCAGCCTCCAACCTAAGAGCGATGGACTCCAACCTGGATGTTTCCTTTGCAGCAAGGTTCTTTGCAGCGGCAGGGTCCTTCTCGGCGTTCTTCTAATTCTTCCCGTTTTTTGTTGGAGGTTCCACCTGCTTCTTGGCGATCAATTTCTCCTTGTCTTCTTAGACCGCTGGAGGCAGCAGTCCGAACTTGTCAAGGTTCCAATATTCAACATGTTCTCCAAGGGCAGAACCTCGCAACAAAAAACTGAAACAACGTGCCAGCGCAAACCATGGAGGTTGTCGGCTGACCGCTGCACAAAGGATCGCAACGGGTGGTTCCCCAGGCATGATACAATAAACTGTTCACGCCATGTAATGGAAGAGAGCAAGGTGTCCAAGGCCAGCGCTGGAAGCATGGTGGGCCAGCTCACAAGCAAACAATCAGCACAAAACAAAAATCTGAATGAAATCTGAAGGTCGAGTTTAGGGTCGGGTCTGAATCTGGAAGATGGATCCAGATAGACTCTAGACTCCAAAAATCTGAAAATATAAAGCACGTAAGAAAAGGGTCGGGGTCGGTCTGGGTATGATATGTGCAAGATTAAGGATTTTACTTTGACCACTTCACCACAACATCGGTGCCGAAGACAGCGCACATTTGCCGTTTAACTTAATTCTAATTTAATTCTAATAGCTTCTTGTTCCCAGTAGCTTCTTGTTCCTACTAGTAAGGCCCTTGCTCGTAGTAGCGATGCACTTGTTCCTAGTAGTGAACCTTGTTACTACTAGTGAGGCACTAGTTACTAGTAGCGATGCCCTTTGCTCCTAGTAGCGTCCTTGCACATTACACATTGAGCTCCGGCTCAGGTTGCGATTCTGCTGACCCACTGGCAGAAGGCGGTGATGCTCAGGGTGGGAGTGAAGTGGTAAAACATAACAACAACTACTAGTAACAAGTGCCTCGCTAGTAGT